ATTAATTGGGCAGAACCCGGCGAGTGATTTTCATTCTAAAGCCACAATCGTTTTCTCCCCACCCCCCCTCGATGTCTGAACCAAGCATGTGGCACTTGCGTTGACCGGCCATGCCCGTGTCATTTTCCCAGAGTCCCTTGCAGTACATGAATCCTTTCGGCCAGTTTCAGCATCATGCGTTTAAAGGCAGTTTTATGTTGCGTGGTTAATGTGGGCAAGGGCACCCTGGTTGGAGATGGCTGGCGCTCGTGAAATTCAGAGGCAAAAGCTCCCAATATCCGCTGGCTGGCTGTGTTTTTATCTCCGAGAGCCGGGAACGGTATTTTGATATGAGATCCACTTAACTTCCCACTGCATCTTGCACAGGAGACACAACCGGTTGCCCTCCTGCCGCACGGAACAGAACATGAACTCGCCGTGCGTGGCTCTGACGGGGGAAATGAGCCACGAACCGCACAGCCAAGTAAACAAAACCTGCTGTGACCTCAAACAGGTTTAGGCGATGCGCGCCAAATTGAAAGATAGTTAGGGGTACATGCGAGCAGAGTATCCTGGCCTGACACGCTTGTCTATGAGAACGCCAAATGAGGTCCCTCTATCATCCTCTGTATGTAGCTGCTTTCTAAACCTCCCCCGTGGCACCTCTACGAGTCTTCACTCTCATTCTCATCAATAATATTTTCTCCCCGAACCATTTCATCTCAAGCCTCAATCATCTCAGCGCGTAAAACTTAACCCGGCATGAAAACGTCTCGGCGAAACACCGCAACGAGAGGCACACGCGCTTCGAATCCGCCCCAGTGCAGAAAGCCCATGGCACATGTTCTATAAAAAAAAGAAAGATATAATTTCCGAGCAAGTATGTTACTGCTGCCTATTTTACTGTGGGGACGTAAACAGCATCGCGGGCGTTGCGGCGGAGGAAGAGGGGCAGCCCACTCTAAATGTAAAGTGGAATGTGCCAGCTGTTGCTGGCCCCTGACGGATGTGTTCCATTACGCGTGCAGGAGAGGATCCGTGCTCGGAAACTCCCTCGGCTGCAGGTGCTTTCCGTGCACCGGCCGAGATGTCGCCAAAGTGGACGCTCAAGGCGCATTAGTGGCTGCTCGGAGGAGAACCCCCCCCCCAGCCAGCCACCCAGCCACCCCTCCGCCGGCCCCCCATCAAGAATTCATGATGCAGGCTCCCGTCCGAGCAAAGCCACGCGCGCATCCCGTGGAATTAAAAATACAATACTGCTTTAAAATAGAATAGCCTCGCCATGTTTGCTGGCGATTACGAGCGCAGTGATGTCGATGATGGCGGCGATGGCCCAAACAGTGAGCTATCTAGCACTTCCATAATAGAGTTGTTTTGTTGGGTTAGATCGCGTATACATATATAAATGTGTCGTTAAAACCCGCCACCACCCGACACGGCCAACTAGTAAGGGTTGTCACGTAAACAGAACGTGGCCAATTCGTCACTAGTACAGCACTAGTGTGTAGTGTAGTGTATCGTGTAGTGTATAGTAGTATATTGTATAGTGTAGTGGATAGTAGTGTAGTCTATAGTGTATAGTAGCGTAGTGTATAGTGTAGTGTATAGTGCAGTGTACTAGTACAGCACACCGGTGTGTTGGAGAGCCAAGCCACAACATTTACAAACTGAGTACGACGTTTCACCAGTAATTACAACGAGCATCATCAGGTGGCAGCCAGATTTGTGGAGAGGTCCACCTGTTTCGTTCCTTATATAGAGGCGTAGATGTGTTGTGTGCTGTACTAGTGACGAATTGATATGTTCTGTTTACTAGTTGGCTGTATCGGGTGGTGGCGGGTTTTTAACGACACTTTTATATACAGTATTTACACGATCTAACTCAAAAACATCTTGTGGATGATATTGGTCGCGAAAGCCTACGTGTTAAATCTAGCACTTGATGATAAGCAATACAAATGGATGCGGACTGGACGCCCTCGACAAGGCAGCTCGGTTACACTGCAGGACTGAAGGTCTCAATCACAGGACGTAGTCAGCTCTTCTGAGACGCCGGATTACAATCACAGGCTCCCATCAACATTCAAGCAGCCTCTCGACCATAGCGAGTCTGACAGTCTCAGTGCGGCCACCGACGACTTCGCATACAAAGCCAATTTCGGTGTTAAAAAAAGAAATTGGAACAAAACATCCCTCGAAGGTAAATACAGGTGTATTCATAGCTGCAAAGCTCATCCCACCTGCCACCGACGATAAACACCGCAGCAGAGCAACGTGTAACACGAGCACAAGAAACGTGCAGACGGCCCAGGGCAAACTACAGTGGTGGAGTCACGCCCGTTCTGCTCCAAGACTTAGGGCTGTCCGGACCGGGTGGACAGCCAGCAGAACACACGCGCAACCTGCGGGAGCCTGAAGGAAGGGCCTCTCTCTCTGCCGACACACGGAACGCTGCGCGCGGTGTGTGCCCACGCATCCTATGCGTGCCCACACCAGCAGCCGTGAGTGCGCGCGGTGTGAAACCCACTCCTGCCGGCTCCACGGCAATTTGCGACATCAGCCCCAGCGTCTTCAAGGAATTGCCGTTTCTTTTGGGGTTTCTAAATCGGATGTTCTGTTCGTTGCTCCGCTACTTTAAAGTATCTGCTCATGTTAGCTCTCCGCCACTGATTAAATCCCAGTCGTGCTATCGGGGTCATGGCTCGAGATGACGATCTGTCTTTTCTGAACCCCTTCAATCAGTGGAGGCTCGTGCGGCGCCGATCATCCCAGAGAGCTAACGGCTAAGCCAAGCTAAGCGATGGTAATTTTGTACACTTGTTTGGAGAGCGGGTTAAAGTCATTAATTCATTGCACTTGGGAGAGAGCCCATTAAGTATTATCATCTTGAGCCGTAATTTATCCAAGCCATCACAATCCGTCACGGTCTTGCAATGCAACTATCCATCTTGAGCATCTGCATGAGCTGATCTGATCAGTACGTTTTCACAGCGGTCGCCATCTCGGGCATCTTCCTACCTTTGGCTGCCACTCCATCATCAGTCTCAACCCATAATAGAGGTTTGTTGGGTTAGATCGCGTAAATATAAATGTGTTGTTAAACCCGCCATCACCCGAAACAGCCAATTAGTAAGGTTTGTCACGTAAACGGAACATGGCAATTTGTTTGCTAGTACATCACTAACCTGTGTGTTGGAGAGTAAACTCACAGCATTTACAATCTGAGTACGACCTCTCAATCCATCGGACCATCAATCCTTCTCACAATGCATCCCGCCCAAGACTACTTTTTTGTCTTAACAGTCAATATGATTCCTCCAGTTAAGTTGAACCCAGGATTTCAGCATTGCTGGCTCATTGCTCCGACACGGCCATTATGAGCCGCGTGAACCACTCAGCCGATGGCACTTTTCAATTTTTTTTCTAACGAGCGCTCCGTGATATTTTTTATTGCCGTTTAATGCTCTTTACTTCCTCAATGTCGAAGGAATCACGCAGCAATTATGCTGGAAAACAATAAAAGGAAATGAAAAAATCCCAAATCAGAGCCACAAATAATTGCAGCCATACATTTCCACGCCGTTAACGATGCGAGACCCTTCTCAATCCGGGTATTCTGGTGATACGGTCTTTACACTTTTACATTGGGCTAATTTTCAGGGCTCCTAATTGTTCACAATGACGAATAAACAAAACGGATTGAACATAATCATTGCATTAGGAGCCAGGCCGCCCACCACCGACGGCACAGGGAGTCGGGGGGATAGGCGACATTGCCGTGAGTGCGTGCAGGGGGCGACGGTAACATTTGCAGATAAATGACTTGAAAATCTTCCGCGAGACAGAGCCAGCAGCGTTTGCCTGCGCGTGCCTGTGCGGCTGCTCGAACCGTGGAAGTGACTAAACATCCCGCGACTCTTTCACGGGGTTCACCTCGACAATCGGCCACGGAACGCCGCGCAACTTTACGCTGCCCACTGTGCTGAAGGGGCCGAGGCACACGGTCACCCGTACCGCGACTGCGAGTCGATGATGTGCCCTCAAAGGACAACGGAAAAATAACACGACGGTGTTTCAGAGGACTTGGGATTGAAATGCGATGAACTCGGAGCGGAGCGGAGCGGGGGCGGGAGGTGTGAAAGGGATCACGGTGGAAGTTTCTAGGATGGTGGAAGGAGGACACGCTTGTTGCAGAGACACCGACGATGGTGTCTCTGCAACAAGTCTCACGTGGCTGGAACAAACTAAATTAGAATTTGGTCTCCCTCTGTCGCCTGGTGGGTGCTTGAGCATTGCACCAGAAGAAAATTAAAACCCCGTTTCTGTGTGGTCGATATGTAATTGATAGAACATTTCCTAAGTGCTCATCAATGAGAAACGTTTTCAAATGTTTAATTACAGAATACATTCTAAATTTCATTAATAATGTGATGGTTGTGCCATGTGCATAATGGAGCTTTGTGGCTAATGGAAGGCAAATGTTTTTTTAATCGTAGTAAATTGTTAACTTGTGACAGTGTTAAATTATCAAAATGTTTTTTTAAACATTTTAATGATACTTTTGAATTTTTTCAATTTTTACGAGTTCCATAAAAGATGTTCATATCTTCTTATTGTCAGTTGTTACATTTTTACCAGACACTAAAACATATGTCTATCGTACTATTCAAACAAGTAGGCCAGTGTGTTCCTGTGTCACGGCAAATACGAAAATATAATATAACGGACCTTTGCACAGTCTCCTAGACTATAGCTTACAGAATAAATTTAATATCAGATGGGGCTGTCACCTGGTTGTGAATGAAGGCTATTGATTGACAGATCGATCGAGGTAATGAATGACTTCTTAGCTTAGCACTAATGCGTCATAAAACAAGCATTTGAAATGACAAGCGACAGGCAAACAGAAAACCCCATTACGATGCAGAAATCGCTAGAACCCTAATCCCAGACCTAAACCGTTCTTGTGCTAACACTTTACTCATGCCACCCTCCCTCCCTCCCACACAGAATCCCTCTGCCACACCAACCCACCTCTCCTTTTCGACACCACCCACCGCTGCGCACTGCCCCCCCGAACGTACAAATGTGGTCAAGTGGCGGCGACGGTGGCGAGGAACGCCCCTCCCCCGTCTATTTCTGGATGTCGCACTGGAGCAGGAGCACGATGGACGGGTCGCTGCGTGCCGCCTCCTTGAACTCCTCCAGGGAGATGAGGCAGTCGTTGTTCTTGTCCATCTTGCTGAAGATCTTGTCGACGCGCTGCTCGGGCGTGAGGCCATCCTCGTTCATCTTCATCATGATCACCGTGCCCACCATCTTGTAGATTGCCTGCAGAACAACAACGCGTGGACGACGCGACGGAGTTCACCTTTGTCTCGTTCTTACATTGGTGGGTTGGTGAATGTAAATAGGTTATAGAAGGCCTACAAAGCGTACATTTGGGACTATTGTAGTCAAATCTTCACTTACAATAAATAATAATTACAGACATTTTGATTCGCTATAATGCACCACGCTGGTCAGTGTGGATTGTTAAAGGGGGGCCCAAGCACTAGTTCATATATCACCACTGATGTATGTGTGTTGAACTTCTTTCGTCCCGTACATAGCCAACTGTGCTAATCGGAGGTGCAGCGGAAGGACAGCAAACTAAACACAAAAAGCAGTTCTAAAGGAATTAGTTTTGAGATCTAGATTTAAAGTGTTTAAAAGTGGCTGAGAATCAAACTTAGATCACCAGGTTCCTAGTGTAGTATAGTCACCACCCAGATATTTTAAATTTGGCCCCATTAAATTATGGCCTGGACAATCAATGGTATTGCTTACCAGATAGGATCAACCTTATGGTAGATTCAGCCTAAGTATTATACATATGCAGCTATAGTTATTCAATTTGTGTTGCTTCAGATATCTTGCACAACAAATAACAAGTGGGGTAGAACAGTAGTACAAGAGTTAATGCCCCACACTATGAACCTGGTGACCTGAGTTTGATTCTTGGCCGTGGCGAACGCGGGTGGAGAGTGACAACCAAGCCCATCCTGGGCCACCCCTTTCACCAACGCGTATTGATTGACGTGATGACGCATGTTTAAACAAACCCCAAGAATGACATGGCATGGGAAGGCCTTTACCTAATTGTTGATTGACGCAGGGTTTATATGATTATTATAATGTTCAGATAACAAGCAAAGCTAAAGTTAGGAATTTATTCTCTCAATGAGAGCAAAAGAAAATGTCAGAATACATACGCAAAAATGTATACAGTGCTATGAAATTATAGGACCAAAATAAGTTGTTTTACTCACTGCTTTGGGTCTGCCTCAGTTACTGGAAAACTGGGCATTGCCCAATTAACGATTCTGGATTTGAGCCACCAACACTCTCTGCCCAACTTAGGTGTCAGCTTCAATCCGATGGGAAATGATTTAAGTCTAGTGCGTGACGGCCCAACTGCAGGACCACCTTATGAAACAAATGATAATTTTGCCGGTGGCACAATCCAAACTACCTCGCTGACAAAACACTGATCGGTCTTTTGGGTGGCAGGCTTTTTCCGAAAGACTTTGAGAGGCAATGCCACATTTAATGCTCATGGGTGCTTAGCATGTCATGAATGCCAACAGTGTTAGAAGGGAGATGGGACAAACAATGTGCTGTTGATAGTTCTGAAAGTAGGAGCAAGAGAAATTTAATAACGATTTCGTTTATAAGAAAACCTTCACCGAGTCTCAAGACTGCATTGGGGTGTTTGACCAATTCCATAATTTTATCTTTGGCATATGTTAGCAAACCGGAGTACATGGAGAAAACGCAGGCACATTAAGGTATAATATTCAAAGCCCTACACAGATCGACTCAAGAATTCCCTGACATACTGCTGTTTGCTGAATACCATTTAAACATGGATCTACAGCTGATGGCAAATGTCTCAAATAAAGAGTAACCATTCCTTGTAGGGAGATACTGATTGTTCTTTAATTAAATTGGCAAAGATTCTTGAGGTGAGATTCATTAAGACTTGCTTGTGCCTTATCTCGTACCCTTGATGTATAACTGTGCCACAAAGCATCTGGAGATCTTGAGCGAACGCTATTTCAAACCGAATTTAATTGTATCGAAAGGTTAGACAATTTTGGAAACAGGTCACGTCCTTGCCTAGTGCACTCATGTGCTGTCTGTGTGTACACACATTATATATTGTATTCACTCTGCGTTGCTGCATATCGACGCGCATTTCTCCTCTGGGTAGGGATTCGTCAAATCAGACACGCGTCGGAGCAATTCCAAGCGCTAATATGAGGAGCGCCGTTGCCTCCGTGAGAGACAGCGAGGCGTTGCGAGCCTGGCGAATGAAGCTGTCAGCGGAAGTACAACTGCCAAGGTCTCATGGAGCCAAGGCTCGTGGCAAATCAGCCATACTGCACCACGCGGTCAGTGCGAGTTGGTGAAGGGAGCACATTTTGTGTCGCCGAGTACGTGACTGGTATGGGTGCTCCTATCCGGTACAGCTACTCAGGTCTACGTTTTCTCATGAAGAGAGTGCCCCAAGAAGACGGAGCCGCGTGTGATTGCAGGGCGACTTGGAAGGATGTCACATTGGGTAGGCGTAGCGATCAGGGTGTCTGTCACTCAGCCAGTTTGCTCAGAGGCAGTGCTGGGATTCCTGCTGCCTCTGCTCGGTAATTCCTATACGAGGTAATTACCAAAGTTATTTGCGAATGACCACAGAGAAATATTTGAAAATACCTTGTTGACAAATATTTAAAATGTGTGATGTTGTCATCACTACCAGTCAACAATCATGAGTGTTTGATGTTCTCAGTCCATTTGCCAGACTGCACACGCAAGTACCGTCATAAAATGTTGGTTTTCACTTTATTGAGCAAACTCCTACTCTGAGCAATACAATGTTCAAATTGATTGCCATGCGATGAACGCTCTTTACAGGGCATAATGAAACGTTGTCTCCTGTCGGTAAGAAATCCATTAAAGTGACTCCAACATATGCACGTAGTGCTATATTCCATGGGCTTTTCCAATCATTCGTGATTTGAAGCTTTCGTGACTGCAGGAATCTATACTCTTTGGTTCTTTCGCTAAAGTCACGTGGATAGAAAAAAATAATAAAAGAAAACACAAAGTTTCGGGCGCAAGACGGCCGCTTGTGTTGCGACCAAAACGTTGTGTTTTATTTTATTATTTTTTCTATCTACGTGACTTTTCCAATCGTATCCATACCATTGTAATGTCTCTTAGTTACACACTAAAGCTTTGCTGAGTCTTACATTATCTTCCAGAAGGTGCTACGGTGAGATTTAGTGGCTAATTCCCATTGGAAACCGGAGTCCCGGGGGGGGGGGGGGGGGGGTGGAATCAATAATTTGAGAAGGTAACACTCAAACCTCTGCACAGATTTATGAATACATTTCTTTACCACCATTTGGCCAAACCCCTGCCCAAGCCAACAACACCTGGTATTCCCTTATTCTCATCCAAGTACTAACCAGGCTCACCTCACCTTAGCTTAGCTTCCGAGATCTGACAAGATCTGGGGCATTCAGAGTGATGTAGCCGGAGCCAAGATGTTATGTACTGCCAACTGTGAGAGTTTCACATGAAAGAGTTTTGTCCTGTGTCCTGATACCAACACAATTTACAGTCCTCTATCAATCCACTGCCGGATGAAGGCCTCCTCACACCGTGTTGGTCACTGGGGTTATTTGACCATACTTCACCACACTGATTAGTTTGAGTTGGTGAAGGCGGGGAGCATAGTTGTTGGGACATAACACAGTGCAACAGCGGATTTTTGCTGTACTACCTAGCAGAGCAGTCAACAGCTTCTCGATGCAGGTCCAACCCTGCTTAGCTTTCGTGTTCTCATGAGGTTTTGGCGCATTCCAGGTAGGGTTTTTCTCCCCACAGGCACTCAGAGTGAATTTGCAACATAACCGTGGATGGAATTAATCAGAGCGCGATGGCAAGTGGTGGGCGAGTGCGGGGGGGGGGGGGGCGAGAGCGGCACCTCGATGATCTCCAGCATCTCGACGCGTGAGATGTATCCGTCCCCGTCCAGGTCGTACATGTTGAAGGCCCAGTTGAGCTTCTGCTCGAAGTTGCCGCGGGACGTGACGCTCAGCGCGCAGATGAACTCCCGGAAGTCGATGGTGCCATCGCTGTTCTTGTCAAAGGTCCGGAAGGCGTGCTGAGCGAACTTGGACGCGTCGCCGTACGGGAAGAACTGATGGGGGTTTGGTTTTTTTCATTCAGGGAGAAGAGAAAGAGATCGAGGAAGACACGAGGCAGACGGAGAGAGAGAGGCAGAGAGGAGACAGACAGACAGAGAGATAGAGAGATGAGAGAGAGAGAAACGGAGAGACAGATACAAATATAGAATTGAGATAGGACGAGGGAACAGTTTTTATTTATTTAGATGACATCTTACAAACTTTAATGGCAGTATATAGCAGCACAGAAAGTCGGTAACTGACCAACTGGTTTCATTTTGACGGCTCACTTATCAAGAGTTATAATCGCATCTGGTCGGATGCCTCTTTTGCATGAGGGTCTTCCTCTCCAATCTTCTTCTCTTACTAATTATGCCATGTAAACTGTTGAGTGATGCTGCTGCCTCCCAGCACTTATTATAAATTGGCAATAGAAGTTATTGAGTGTTCCTGTTTAATAATGGAACGGCTGCTTCTGAATGCCATTGCATCCGGGAACAAGTGCCCTTGCTGCACGGCGCAGATGCCCATAGCAGTAGAAGCCACAGCTGAGTTCGGAGTGCAGGAGGCTACACACACACGCACACAGCTGGAAAAAAGCCCACACATACAAAAAAATGTCCACGCAGAGCCCTTTTCTCAATCCACTTTCCGGATGAGTAACGGTTCGTCGGAGCAATTCGACTGTGATTCACCACGTTGGTCAGTGCCCGCTGGTAAAGGCAGCTTAGGGGCACAGTACAGGGTAACAACAATATTGCTGCACTGCCCCGTGCTGATTATATAGCCCTACAGCAGCCGCCTAGAGAAAATGGTTTATGCATTATGCCCAGCCTGGCACTATCCGCGCTCGAGTCTTCTTAGCTTCTGAGATCTGATGAGGTCGGGAATTCTCGGCGATTTCAAATGCGAACGCAATCAACGGGGAAAACAACAGTAATATAATGAGGGCGTTATAGGTCTGATGATGTGGCCATGATGAGGCTATCGAGGCTGTGGATAATGCCTTAATGCCAAACTACTGCTGCTTCATGAAATGAAAAAAACCTTCTTCCCAGAAGCAGAATGTGGCTCAAGAACCGGGAATATTCCATGTGCGACAAGAGATTTGCACTTGCGGATGCAATCGCAGTCTGCTTGTGCACTGATGCCCTGAGGCCTAACTGAGAGTCGCATATAAACCTGTCAAAATAGTAATAAAAACAAATGCTGCGTGGCACGGGTCTGTGCAAGGTATGAGGCTTAACGCCCACGCTCAAAAGATTTCTCTCCTTTTCAATTACCGGCGAGTCATTACCGCATTACATGGCGTATTGACAAGACCGCACCGCAAAACACATCTTCATTTCTTCGTCTTTTCTTGCAGAGGGCAGCCTAATTGAGCTGCTTACAACTCATTTCCAAGCAAGGGCCCCATTGTCCCTCTCAATTCTGGGCAAATATATCAACGATTGCCCATTTTATAATACCACTTAAAACACCAGGCACAGGAGAACCTCTTCGTGCTAATAACCCACTTAATATTTGTAAATGCTCTAACTCCTTAGCACGAATATTAAACTTACTTAAACGGGCTTGTAATTTCTGCACTATCTTGACCCCAATTCATTTCCACTTCTCGCATGTCCGACCATGTTAAACCTTCTTAAAACATATCTATAAATTATATTGTCTCTGACAACACTGCAGGATTTCTTAATAGGAACTTGATAACTGCAACTTTCTCTGCTATAAAATCCTAATTTCTTAGATATGCAAATTTAAGTTGTTATAAAACTGTACGGCTGACTGGCTTCTGGGCAAAAAAAAAACTAAACAAAAACAGAACCTCGTGCCTGCATGACTTCATATTCCCAAATAGATCAACTACAAGTTATCCCTCAAATAATATACACCAAGATTACAATAAAGTAATTGTTACATCGCATGACACTGGGAAAATCCACAATGTAATGACAAAAGACAAAGACACAGATCCCCCGTATAGCTATAACAGACTGTTTGGGCAAGTGCTGTGAGCGAGCACCTATGAAGGCCAGAGGGGCTGGGTGGCCAGCACCACACCTGGTCGCCTTTGTCTCCCCAGTGACGATGTTTACACACCACACCAGTTACTCATTTGAGGCTGAGTCGACCTAGGGGAGGAGCAGGACCGGTTCAAATAATCGTCACTGGTGTTGGCCGTGAGTGGGAATCGAACTCGGCCGCTGGGTTCATAGCGCAGCGTGCTACCGCTCCCCACAATGCAATGGGCACCCTAGATGTGATGCACACGTTATAATAGACTGTTCTAACCACAAAGGCTACGTACATTTAAATATGCATGTGGTGGAGAACTTTAAAATAACGTATAATCTCATTTGAAATTATTTTCCATTGCCTTCAGATCCACATGTTTTCACCTGCCGTTTTAATAGAACTTATTTTGCCAGATCGTTAGAGTTGTGGCAATAAACTTGTCTGAATTGGATTACATCATTCAAGTTTGTCCCTCTGTTATTCCTGGGGTTTATCTCGCCTGGTATGCAGGAGGTCGTGGGTTCGATCCCAACCCGGTCTCTCTCCCCATGGTCGCTTGGATTTTTCTCTGGGTCCTCTGTTTTTTCCCCCCACGCGTTTCAAAACAACGTGCGTTTAGAGGATTTGGCTGCTACAAATTTCCACGCGATAAGCCACTTCATTGAGCTATCATTTGTGGCCTAGTCGCTTATGAAAAAGAGCCGTATAGCTCAGTGGGCCTTACTTGGTAAAATAAAAAAAAATTGTTACCTAGGATTTGTTCCGAGGATGTGGGTGGGTGGGGTGGGCTGTACATTGGGCCACGCAAATGAAGTCTCAAGTCGCTATCCGCTCTAGCACCTCAGTGGCTGGAGGATGCCGTTGTAGTGAGCTCAAGAGGTCTATGCATAAATGGGTGCCACGTCCTTTTTTGGGGAAATCTTGCAGCCTTCTCAGTTTATAGCCGAGGTGTTCCATTGAGGCGAGACGGAAGAGGGCATTGCACCAGTGGGGTGTCGTGGGGAGCGCTCCTCGTGCAGTTTCCATGCATTAAGGATGGCTTTGTGGGCTTTGAACACGTTAAATCTTGTTCATGTTTTTATTCCTCTAGGTTTTTTTTCTTCTTTCTATAAAATATGCTTTGGAGTTCTCTGACGTGAGACACCGCTAGAGAGATTATATAAGAACACAATCATAATAATGTCGTGTTCCTTGTGACTGCTATTTGAGAGATTAAACTGGACAACAATCCGGCAGGTACCGTCCTTTCTAGCGTTGTTTACTAACTTGTTGGTGCTTTGAAGGAGGGCCGTTGCACAAAACGTCGCCTACTTTTGTTTTCCCTTTTAAGGTCACGGCGTTATTGACGAATGTGTCGAGTTTATTTGTATAACACCTATTCGGTGCTCATTGCATTTCCTGCTCAGTGCCTAGAAATGATTTTTGCATTTCACTGCTGCGCAATAAACAAAATCATTGTAACAGTAAAGTATTGCATTACATGTGACAGGGCAGTTGGCTTTACCAGCAGTCAGCAGACCTAGTCCCGAAGACATCCATCACCGACTTGAGCAAAGAAAATTAAACAAAGCTGCAAGGGACTACGTTGTCCGTGGTGCACAAGCGCAAGCAAATAAAAAAACCTTGCCACATTTATCATAAACACTGCAGCATTGCAGGAAATGAAAAAAAAAACCGCACAATAGGCTGACTTTTTATAGTCGTTGTTGTTGAGGACGGGCCTGTAGGCTCACCAAAAAAATAATAATACCAAGGGCCAAGCAACAAACAGCGATATTAAAGTCGTGATAGATAAGAGTTAATACTTTCTTGAATTGAACAAGGGTTTTTTTGTTGGAACTTTGGAAAGAGAGACCATGGGAGGAGGGAATTGGAAAGTCAAGCAGTGCGAGTATAACGAATGGAGTTAATTTAACGATGGGCCTTTAATCCGTATCCATCGACGTTGTCAGCGTTCCCACGATAAAGTCTCGTACGTTCATTCAAGAATGTTACGTTTACTTCAAATCAGTGTATATGTACATTCTGTTTTCGACTTTTCTGAGGGTTTTCTTACTACTCAATGTATATGAATGAATAACTGCCCATGTCAACAATTTTAAGAAAAATTCCTCATTGAACCACAGTGTAACGTTCGATCTCCAACTATAAAACCAGTCACTCTTTCTGCCCTCTCGCTCTGCTCCTCGGAAGAAGCACCACCGCTCCAAACATCGGACTATTATCATCATCATCAGCCATAAACAATCTGCTGTTGGATGAAGGCCTCCCCAAACTGTTGCCATCTCTCACCATCCTGTGACACAACAATGTACCCAGCACCTGCCCACGAGCTCATTTCATTATTCCATCTCCCCCGGTAGACGTCCTCTCAAAGCGTGCTCAATCCTTTGGCTACCATTCTGCTCTTGGATTTGCCCATTGACCATCGTCCCTCCTGGCGACGCCCACAAAACTTTCCTTAACAATTAGAATTATTTTTCGATTTAAAGCTTTCGTGACTGCAGGGATTCATCTTCTTGGTTCTTTCGGTAAAGTCACGTAGAAGGGAAATAATAAAATAATAAAAATAAAGCATAATAAAATAATAATAAAATAATATTGAAATAATAAAAATAAAACATAATAAAAGAATAATATTTTTATTATTTTATTATTTCCCTTCTACGTGACTTTACCGAAAGAACCAAGAAGATGAATTATAATTATGTCTTTAACCTGCATGTGTTTTCTGATCCGTGCATTTCTCTTTCTGTCTCTCAGTACAAGCAGTCAATTATATTCTTGGTTCTTTCGGTAAAGTCACGTAAGAAAATGTTCTTGCTGTGGTTTTCACATCTGATGATGATTGCTTGTGTTGCAATCGAAACGTCGTGAGAATTTAATTGTTTTGTTTTTATTATTTTATTATTTCCCTTCTACGTGACTTTACCGAAAGAACCAAGAATATGAATCCCTGCAGTCACGAAAGCTTTAGATCGAAATTCAGACAAATATAATCGGTGTTATTGGCAAACACAGAGTGCTTCAAAAAAATGTTAACACTTACATGGGACTATCGTTTTTAATGGAGAAAGAACGAATAATACATTATAACATGATAAACATTTTAATGTTAATTGCTTCAAAAAGTAAAAAAGTCTCCACTTATTCGCCATCAATGTCAACACGTGCCTGGAATATTCTCCAAGTGGCCTCCAAAGCCTGGAGGCACATTTCTCGTGGCATTGTTGCAAATTCTCAGAATTGTTAAACAATTTTTGAAGCCCCCTGTACAGCGATATTTGAGAATTCAAATCTGACCACTGCTTGAATAAATATTACATTTCTCGTTAACAATCATGCCTAATCCATTACATCTTATTTTTTTAAAACTGCTTTTCATGCATTCCTTTAATACTTCTCTGGACATTTTTTTTCTCGAAGCTACTTACCAACACCCGAGAGAGGTACCTATATTTATCGACCTGCTTATTGATCTGTTGAGAAGGGTTTGTGGCACACTATCTTCTTCCATTACCGATCTAGGCGATTAGGACCGGTTGTGCACCCCGCAGCTATTTCCTGCGTCGTCCGGAGTGTCGTAAAACCCATTTGCGGCCCCCACTTTTTGTAGGTTTCCTCTGCCAAAAGCGGAGACTTAAATCCTGGCACTTTAAGCCAGGATGCATCGTTTCAGAAATAGCCGCGAGGTATTGGCATGGATTTAGTTGTGTCTTGGGGTGTGGCGAGGCAGGGACGGTCTTGCCCACCTCTGCCTGTCTCAAAGCTTCATTTTCTCACATGCGGTGTTCATCCATTGGACGGTAAATGAACGTGGATGTAAGCTTTTTACAATTGTGAACCAAAATTATGGAATGTTAGTAGATTATGTTGTGCACATGATGATGTCAGCATGATAAATGCAAACAGCATGAAAGAAAAGCGTCAATCCGTCGACTGAAATCTATTCCGGCGCTCACGATAACGCGCATTGAATTGCGCGTTGGAGCGTCGATTGTACTCAATTGATATGCATTGTATGTAGTTGAGTCATGTGAACCATGCAGCCACTTGAGGTGCTACATTCACTGCAATAGAAGTACAAGCCACCGATCCTTGAGTCCAATCGTGACCTCGGAATCGTGAAAATGTATCAAAGTGCCAGGAAGACGAAATGGAAAATGCATAATATCTTACAAAACTGCACTTGTTACTGTGCACCACCCACACATCTCTCAATAAGCGAGCGCAATTTGTGCAAATCACTGGCAGCCTAACCGAGCGCATCGCATCTATCAAGGAAATCCAAGTATGCGCAGAAGTTGCAGTGCAGCGAAATTTCGGCATTGTTTTTTAAAAAAATGATTCCACTTTACTCATAGGAATAAATTGCAGTTTTTATTTGTATTTATAGGCATTAATTAACAGTGTTTAAATATAACTATTTTACGGTACGATAATTTTCCTAACGAGAATTTTCACCTCCGCGATGTGTAATTGCCTCCTCGGCGGTGCCGACTGCCACCCCGCTATCAGCTTTCCCTTCTTGTCCCTCGGTCCCACGGTGTTATAATCTTTCGCAGTTAGTTATTTGGGTGTTAATCAATGTGTAATGTTAAGTTATTTTTACGCGCAATGCCAACATATCAAACAGGCTTATCGTTTTACCAAAACAAACCCACAACGCATGGGGTAAGAGGTTTCACGTTTCTATACAGCAGGACGGTCTCAGTCTGGCCGTCACAAGCAGTTTGACATATTGGGACTTCGGGCATAGACTCAACAACTGTGTAGTAAGTGCGGTGAAAAAAATGATTGAAACATTTTTTTTTACAATTGTAGTTAATTTGGTTGATCCAGCCTTCAGGCACTGCCATATAATTTATTTGAAATTTAAAATGTTTTTTAAAATTGTATTTAACTGACAAAATGATGCATCCATTCACTTTAAGTAAAATATCACAGCTGGAAAATGAAAAATATATTGGATCACATTTGAAAGAAAAACCCCCACAAGAAATTAATGTAAAATCGTTCTTACAAGTGTAACATAAGAATAGATTTCACAGTCGGAGCAATGCAATACAAGTTCTACTGAAATAATGAGAAAGGGTGGCCGTGTATGTGTAAATTCAAAATGTAATCTTCTTGGTTCTTTCGGTAACGTCACGTAGAATGGAAATAATAAAATAATAAAACATAATAAAATAATTCTCACGACGTTTCGGCCACAACGCAAGCAGCCGTCCTCAGGTGAAGAACAGGTCTTAGAGTCGCGACCTGTTCTTCACCTGTGGACGGCTGCTTGCGTTGTGGCCGAAACGTCGTGAGAATTATTTTATTATGTTTAATTTTTATTATTTTATTATTTCCATTCTACGTGACTTTACCGAAAGAACCAAGAAGATGAATCCCTGCGGTCACGAAAGCTTTAAATCGAAACAAAATGTAATTTTACGTGTGAATTTGTGGATAACTTCCACCTCTCCCGAGATGTCTCGCCGGTGTGGGAAAGTCGGCCAATTGCCTTCTAGAAGGTCTCTCTTGAGCTCCCTCTCGTTTGTGAATGAAAGCTAAAAAAAATTGTATTTGGGCTATGACCCCAGCAAGCGATCACCAACTCATTTAAGCCTTTAACGTTAAGCTTTTAACATAACATCCCGTTTAATTCCCGAAATGAAATGTATTTGGCTGCAGTCAGGATTGACCTTTAACTTCATTCGGGCAGAATCCGTGGTGATCGTGCGTACTCGCGCTCATATGCATCAAGCAAAATCGATGCTTACGCTCAAGAGACCCAATATCCATGCAATAAATTGTACCTGTAAGAATCAACTAATTTTATGAATCATTCGAAATACTCACAAATTATGCAGTGCATAAAACAGTACAAACTAGATATGATAATGAACGAAAAAATAAAGATGGTAAAAATGCAAAAACAAAAACCTTAAGTGACTCTGTCTCATGGACATTTTAACTTTATTGCGGTACTATGGTACCCCGGGGTCCCATAGGGTTACCATAGTACCCCGGCTCTCGCATCATGTCCATGATGCAGTCGTTTTTAGTCTGTTGATGGTCGGCGATGCAGCAAACGACTCACCCCGGGGTCCCATAGGGTTACCATAGTACCCCGGCTCTCGCATCATGTCCATGATGCAGTCGTTTTTAGTCTGTTGATGGTCGGCGATGCAGCAAACGACTCATCTGGACGAGCTGTACACGATGTACTATCCAAATTTAAATTTTCCATGACAAATTTTTTTATGCTGATGTTTGGCGTTTCGACATGGCGGAGTGGCACTGATTTCGGATTGATTGGTACCCCAGTCGCGGAGTGAAGTACACCCCTGGAGAAAATAGTGTCCCAGAAATAAAATATTTAATTGCCTCGGCCCATTTAGTATTATTGGGTACCCCGGGTTACCGCCATGAGGATCACGTGTCGAACCACTGGGGAAGTGAAAAAGTTACATTCCTATTGACATTAAGCCCGGCATCTGGCAATCGCATCATAATTCCAGAACACATTCATTCACCCACATCTTACTGTGCTTATGGAAAACTGAACTTAATGAAAAGCAACAAAACGGCATGCCTAAATGAGTTTTTCTAATCAGCGTTATATTACCAGTGGTAGCAGATGGTTCACGTAAACGTTGACAAAATAAATAGCGCAGAAGGTGCAAAGTGCACGGAGAAAGCGTGGAGAGATGCACGCTGAGAATTGCAACTGAGAAACGGAAAGAGGAATACACGGATTGGGGATCAAATGCAAATCCGAGACATTGCATTGACTGTTAGGAAAAGTAACCGAGCATGGGCCAAGACACGTCAGAAGGAGGGATGATGGGCAGTAGCCGAGACTAACAATAAAGTGGCAGCTAAGGAGGGAACACACTTAAGGGCACGTCCCAGTTTGGAGTTGTATTGACGAGATCAGCTTATGCGCAAGAATTGTCACATCACAAGACTGTGATGACTTGGGGACAACTTGATTGTATGGATGCACGTTGAACTTCTTTCGCACTGTAAGCAGCCAACCGCGCTAATCAGAGGTACGGGGGTAGGACAACAAACTAAACACAAAAAGCAGTTCTCAAGAAACGAGTTTTCAATCTAGATGTAAAAATGAATAGCTCCAGTGGCTTCCTAATATCAGAAGGAAGAGCGTTCCAGATGGCCGCTTAAGCGCTAATTGAGCAGTGAACAGATCATGGCTGGTGACGATGACAAATGTGCTGCATTTTTCTGAGCACAGACATTCATTTGTAGCATAATAAGCTCATGATTTCAATCGCTCCCCTGCACCCTCCACAAAGAAACGTCTCTCATCTATATGTTACAGAATGAGTGCAAAAATAATGAAAAAAAAAAACGAAATGAAAAACAGGAATAAACAAACATATTGCACCAGCAATTTGAGCAGCAAGATAACGGAGAGGAAAAAAAAGAGTCAGGAAGCCCCAAAAACATGCTGCGATGATATCTCTCTCTCTCTCTCTCACACTAATGGATGGATGTGATAAAAAACACACAACCGGGCATTTAAAATGTGCTTAGACATATCTGCTGAAGTGGCATAACCGTGGATGAGAAGAAACAATCCATAGTGAGGGCGATCAACGTAATTGTGTCTCGGGAATAAAAAAAAAATCTATCGCAGGGAAATGGCCTGTCATGCGCAGCCGGCCACAGACCCCGGGTACAAAGCAAAACATGGATTTTTATTGACGTTTTACTGATCCGTGCAAACGAGCGGAATTTTATGTCACCACAGCAGAGCGCCACATTGAGCCCAGAGACCTGAGCGCCGTTGTGGGCAAATCCCACGCTCAGCGTTCTGCACATCTCTGAAGTAAAACGTCCAGACAGTTATCTGATTTTAATTCTGAAAGGGTAAGAATTGCCAAAGGTGACGATTGGTGAAATCGTATGTTTGGAAAGAGATTGCGAGTGAAAATAGTTTATCCGATCTAACACCTTGACGTAGAGCTGTTGAAACTCCTCCAGGTTCAGCTTGCCGCTGGGGCAGTCCTTGAGGAAGCCCTTGTACCACTGCTTCAGCTCAGCCTCGTTGAATTCTGTGCTCTTCAGTAAGTCCTCCAGCACCTCTGGAGCCAGCTTGCTGTTTTGCTTGCCCATCGCGAGAGGTCAGAGCTGTGGGGTAAAAGAAGAGGACAGAGTCATTGAGGTCATTGCTCACCAAGGCTCCACAACATCTTTCACTGGCTCAACAGCAAATCGACATTGCTTTTGGCGTGCAGCATTATGGGAAAATCTGGCAATGCCTTCAGAGTATTTTTTGTTTGTTACAACTGGTGAAAATTGGTTAGGAGAGAAACGTGATGTTTGAATTATAATACTGAAAAAAGTAGACATTCAACTTGAATGGATAATAAGAACACAACATATACCAGGTTAAAAAGAGCTTAAAATGTAAATAACATTATTAATTGTCGTTTATATATGCAGGCTGTAAATTAAAAAAATATTATAGTCAACCCTCGATTATCTGGGGCAATGGGGGAAGGGGCAGCCCAGATAAAAAAAAAAATGAATCGGGCATAACAAATGTGAATTAGGTTACACAACGCAATGTGTTGTTTACCAACATAGAATGGCTATTAAGATGAAGAAGATATTTTTATTGTTTCTTGAAGACGTTGGTTTTTTGGTCACGTGAGTCACCGACCCACAGTGAGTGAGGAGCAGTGGCTATTCAAACCAACGGGTGAGTAAAAGCTAAATATTTCCTTTATATTTGTTTCATTACCATGGTTAATCCGCGACGCAGATAATCCACACACTCCGAGTTCTAGGATGCGGCAAAACAATGTCGATGCATGAGAAACACATTTTCTAGACAATTGAACATTATTGTTAATTGTAGTGGCAAGCATTTATAATGTGTCTGTAAAACAAAGTTTGCTTAGCCTCCCCAAGCCCCAGCCACCTATCACGATCCTGCCGTGTAACAAGCTCTCAGTGACAATACTGACAGACGATAGACCATTTATTCTTCTGTGAACAAAAGGGCAAATGGTAAAAAAATGCTTGCATCCGAATAGCTGGACACAAACAAGTCCATCCGGTGCCAAACCATGGCAATTTAATCACCCTGAGCCTTTGTGATATCCGAGCTCACTTACCCCCAAAGCTTGTCCCCATTTAGAAACCCTTTATTAATATTGATGACAATGTTCTGAAAGCCATCATCCCAAAGGATTCCTCTCGTCACCTACAAACTCAAAAATTGACCTCCGACCCACAGGAGGTAGCCCGCAATTCCTAGGGGACGGACAACACGTGTTGTACGTGTCGGGGAGGTCATGTGGCGGCACAGACTATTCCCATAGCTTCTTAAATATAAAACGCATTTACCTTTGTGAATGCCTTTAAGTAGGATACACTTTTCGAGCACAGATAATTTCAACTAACCCCCCACCCCCATGCTAAACCACTCCACAGCAGCAACAGAATTAGATTAGACTCATACAAAGCAGCATTGACACCTGCAGACTCAAAAAAATAATGGGAACATTTCCCCATTACCATTAATATCAAATCAAAATACATCTTGTTCTGGGGGAACAGTGGCATACAGCAACACGGGCAGTGACAGTGGTTGAGAACCCCAGGAGATGAAAATATAACCAAGATGCACAGGCAAACTGCTAACCGGACACGTAAGGGTCGACTTCGTTTTTTTTTCGCTGTAGAGAATGAAAGAAAGCAGCATTGAATTATGCGGATGTGTTGTACTTATTAAATGTGTGTAGGACGTCTGCTTCTGCAGTGACCACGCACATATTCGAGCTTTGTTTTAGTTAAAATTATAAATAATTGGCACATACACTATGGGACATTCCATCAGAAATAATTATGAATGTTGGTGCAGAATGAGAATTTCTAATTGTGCGTTATGAAGGATCTGAGTGCTCTAAATTAATAGCTGCCATTTTAAAAGTTAAAACAAGACGATGCATTTAAATTGTAAGAGTCGTCACGTTTTCATGGAACGCATTCACGTTTAAAGAGGTGGACGACGTGCTAATGTCTTCCTCGGCAGATGAGAGTGCCCACCATCTGAGACAAAAAGTGTGCACAGGCCTCTACAATCTGGAAGTCTTATCAGGCAAGTATGCTGGTGGAGCCCAGGTTGGTATATGCACTCTGATTTGACTTGCAAAGCACTGTGGGTATTTACCATGACACTATACGGCATTAACATATTTCACCTTAACTTGGACTCTTTGAAAGACGGACAGGTGTGGGTCAACCAAACACAGGCCTGAAAACAATAAAAAGGCTGCACATTTTAATAAAGGAATACGCCTCACGTTGATGCGTTAGAACGAGCAGATTAATTTATATAGGGCTCAGACTCTTGCGGTGTTAGGTAATTGCACTCTGCAAGGGTGCGAGGAATAACAGATGGAGTTACGGCTTCATAAACCATGAGGCAGCCCCCCACGCGGGTTCTCTCCAGCTGCTGCTGCCATTTTTTTGATAGCCGAGTGTGCGACACTGCGCCGTGCGATGAGTCTCCCCGAGACCTTGAGCTCGCGGCTCGAGTCGGTCCAGCGAGCGAGACTTTAATGCAGGCAGTGACGGTTTCGTAAAAAAAAGAAAAAATATGTATATTTAAGGGGGGGGGGTCATATTGGGCTGAGGCGATGATTTGCAGCCGGTTTCGTGGAACACGCAGAGATGGCGCTGTAGACATGTGCGAGATGATGACTCGCGCACCTGGTGAGCATCGAGGGTGTCGATATTGATAGGCAGTACCGCAAGTAGGTTGCCGAGCTATTTTAATAGTGGCCATATTTTAAGGACATTTTGTCTGTCACAGAAGAGGCGAGTAATTAGATGGATTTTTTGCCAACGTTATTATAGGTTTCATGTTTGAAATAATGGTATCTAAAATATCATCATGACGATCTCATTTTGGACATTTTTTTACCGCAACTTATATAACATGTTCATGAAATTGCCCTTATTTGAGGAGCAATAATAAATTGGCCCAACGTTCTAAGGAAGATTCTGCTGTAAAAGCCTTGAGCCTCCCTTGTGATTTTTTTGTGTAATACATATTCTTATTAGGAGTGATGTTAAGTTGGGTTTTAGTTAATATCTTCATGAAGTTTTAATTTCCATGACACATACATGTCCTTTAAGAACAACACACAGGTAGCAGAGGCTCACAGGGCATTGAGGAATGACCTTAAAAGTCTCAACGCAGGGCTGTGTCCAAGTCGGCCTCCCTTACTATATATGGGTCGACAGTGGTCCATTTATAACATATCAGTTATTGTATAGGTTACTATTCTGATGAAGTAATTGCCTACCATGTACAGAATCAAGTTGCTACACAAGTTCATAAAGAATTCAATAATAATGATAATAATTTACAGGCCTTTGTCAATTCACTGCTGGATGAAGGCTTCCCCATGCCATGTTGGCCAATGGGGTTGTGTGACCATATTTGACCATGTTGACAGGTCCAGATGCTAACTTGCCAATGATGTAAGCCTTGGCCAGGAATTGAGCTCCCGGGATCATGTTAACTGCTGTGCCGCCGTTCCCCTTAATATATAGTAAAAAAATACGTACTTGATAAACAACTTATGAAGGAAATATTAAAGGTGTTCATGAAAGTGATCACATAAAATGCTAATTACTGGTGGTGAGGGCAGAAACGGTAAAGTTATTGCTTAGTTTTGCATCTCGGCTAGAACTAAAGCTATGAAATTAGCTCCAATTTTAAATTAATATTACTGGCAGCATTACAGTCTTCAAGGCGCATTTAATGACATAGCTTGCTCAATGAAGCATTGTCGTCAGATGTTTGTGTCTACATATATTCGAGGCTAATACATTACGTGCAGGCACTATAGAAATGTAATGAGTATGGTGATGACGTCACCCTGCTGATGCTCTTTAAGACCGGGAGCATGAGCAGAGCCTCACCATTCTAGCGAATTGCCCGATGATGCTGGATGCAATTACCAGCGAAACGTCGTACCCAAAAATTGTAAATGTTGTGGTTTCACTCTTCAACACACCGGTGGGTTAAAGCAGTGAACAATTTGTCTTTTGTCAACGTGACACTTTTTTGCTGATTGGCCGTGTCGGGTGGTGGAGGGTTACGACACATTTATAAATAACGCGATCTAACCCAAAACGTTGATTATGAATTATGGTGATATTGTGGTTACATTTACATTTCTTTACGCGATGCATGATCAATTTTTCTGCCCCTGAGTCTCGTATTCATCACAATGCATTGCGGCTCTTGAATTATTGAGGTTTTTTTCTTTTCCCGAAGTTCGAAAATATGCTTCTTCTTGTGATTTTCGTTACCGACCCCCCTGGTTTATGAACAAATTGTCCCTGTGCACTTTTGCGTAGTCGTTGATAACTCCCTCGACGTGAAAATATGGCTTACGTTTGCATAACGAGGTAAACACGAGACCTTGGAATTGTATTTTCACGGCACTATTGTCGGAGGGGTCTCCATTAAAGGGGTGCTCGAAAGAGACCCCTCTCGAGGGCATTTGGCCAACTCTGCCACGGCTGGACAGATATTTTGGGAGAGCTGGGAATGACCACAGTTTACCCCACCACGCGCAACCTGCCGATTGGCTCACTGCGGTGCACCCATTGACACTGCTGGATGGACAGAGGCGGGGAGACTTAAGAACCTTGCGTCATTGCTTCAACTGACGCTTCAGGAAACCGAACCGGTGACCTCTGATGTGCTAGTCCGGTGTGCTAGCCATTACACCGCGCGGCTGCATCCTTTACTCTGCGCAGGATAAAAATGTTCATATTCAGGGTTTCGGCAGTGCCGCCTCAGTGTTCTGAAACTGAAGGCAAGTTGCTCTCCCTCCACCATTTTCTTTAACCAACTCAAGCACAGGGCAGATCATGGTGGTGGGGTAAATGCAGAGCCCATCTCTCTTAAGCCGCCTGAGCAGCGTTGAAGAATAAACAAAAGGCACTTTTATATAAACTGTATAAAGAAAGGGTCTGTCGCTGTAATGACATGAACACTGGGTTCAGGAAACGCTAATGCATTCCTCTTATCTCTCCTCAATTTCTATTTTAAGCATTTAGCTCGATTTACTGGTAGATGGGAAGCTGGTGACAAATGC